TCAGAGGTCACACGAAGATCTGTCAGCAGACGGTGAATCTTCTTTTTTTTCCTGCTTTCCCTCTTCAGGGGTCTCCACAGCGAGTCATCCTCTTCTATCTCATTCTGTCCTCTGTGTGCTCTGTCCTCACTCCAACTACCTCCATGTCCTCTCTTACTGCATCCATAAATCTCCTCTTTGTCTTTTTCATACAGCTGCATTTCTAACATCCTTCTACCAATATACCCACTGTCTCTCCTCTGGACATGTCCAAACCACTGTCCCTCCTCTGGACATGTCCAAACCATCTCAGTGTGTCCTCTCTATCTTTGTCTCTCAGTTGTTCAACCTGTGCTGTACCTCTGATGATCTCATTCCTAATCTTTTCCATCCTTGTCACTCATAAGGAGAACCTCAACATCTTCATTTCTACTTCCAGTTCTGTCTCCTGTCTTTTTGTCCATGTCTCTGTCTCCAGACCATACAACATAGCTGGTCTCACTTGTCAACAGACAGTGAATGTTGACTAATATTACACTGAATTAGAGGTTTTAGCTCAAAAGTTGAACAAGAAATAATCATATAAATTACCTAGCTTATTATTTTCACAGCAAATTTAAAGTGAAATGCAGAAAATGTCAACAAGCTGTGCTTGCTTAGAAAGATGTTTTATATGAAATCTGTTGGTTTTCCATGTGGGATCTGCTGCTTGTCTCCAGAAGAACTCAAAGCTCCAGGAGATGATTGAATAAATTCAGATTTCTGTGAGTCTGCAGGAAGTGGGTCCTCAGAAGTTCTGTAAAGAGCAGTGTGTTTTATAAAAACAGGAAGTGGTGATTGTGTATAAAAAGTGATGCTGCAGTCGTTTGGATCATCTTCTGATCGGATCCGAGACCCGGCAGATGAACTTCTCCCCATCTGAGCGGTGAGTTTCAGACTTTTTAAAAAGCTGCAGGACTTCGTGAGAAATTCTGCTGAAAATGTCATAAAATATCATAAAAACTACATAAACTGCTAAAAAGTTGCTACAGCTTATATTTTAAAACTAACTCATTGAAAAAATGGAGCATCAGGTAAGAAATGATGTTTTCATGTAACGTTTTTAATCTTTGAGATGTCAGGGTTAGTGAATG